ACTTTTTAGTTTAGTACTTGGTGAGAGATATAGATCTAGATTTCATCTTTTGCACGTGGATACCAGTTTTCACAGCGTCATTATTTAAGTAGGTATCCTTTTAGCCCCTTTGTATCTGAGAGCCGAGTGTGCCTGGGTTCTCATACTCTATTGTACTTCGTTAAATCACATGATTTTTTTGCCAGTGCCATGCTGTTTTTAATCACTGTAACTTTGTAATATAACTTGAAGTCCAAGAATGTGATGTCTCCTGCTCTGCTCTTGTTGTCCAAGGTTGCTTTGGTATTCTGGGTCTCTGCTTCTTCTTTGTGAATTTTAGGAATGGTTTTTATAGTTCTCTGGGGAGTGTTCTTGGTATTTTGATTAGTGTTGCATCAAATTTGTACATCAGTTTTGGAAGTATGACCATTTTGATAATATTTTATCTACCTACCTAGGAACAGGAGATATCTTTCAACTTTCTGGTGACTTCTTTGATCTCCTTTTTCACAGAATTGTAGTTTTCTTTGTAGAAGTCTTTCACTTTCTTAGATTAATTCCTACATATTTAATTTTTCTTGATACTATTGTGAACGGTGGTATTTTCCTAATTTCTTTTCTGGTGCTCATTATTGGTGTACAGAAATGCTACTGATTTTTGTATGTTGACTTTGTATCCTACTGGATTTGGTTATTAATTCTGGGAGTCTTGTAGTGGCTGTTTTGGATCTTTCCCAAATAAGGACATGTTATTTGCAAATAATGATAACTTGACTTTTTTTCCTACATGTAGCCCTGTCATTTCTTTCTTTCGCTTGATTGCTCTGGCTAATATTTCGACTACTATATTGAGCAGAAGTGGCAATAGTGGACATACTTCTCTTGTTCCCAATTTCAGAGGGAAATCTTTCAAGACTTTCCCCATTCAATTCAATGCAGGCAGGAGATGTGTCATAAATGGCTTTAAGTAGACTGAGACAAGATCCTTCTATACCTAATTTCTTCAGGTTTTTTTTTTTTTTTAATGAATAGATGTTGAATTTTACCAATGGTTTTTCTCTATAATTTTTTAGATAATCACGTAATGTTTTTGTCCTCAGTTCTGTTTACATAATATTGATTTTGTATTTTGAAGTATCTCTGCTTCCCTGGGATGAATTGTAGTTGGTCATGATGCATGATCTTTTTGAAAATTTGTTGCATTTTGATTGTTGATATTTTGTTGATGATATTTGTGTCTATGTTCATCAAAAAGATTTACCTGTAATTCTCTTTTTTTGAGGTTTGGTCTTTTCTGATTTTGGAATTAGAATAATACTGTCTTCCAGGAATAACTTTGTGAATATGCCTTCCTTCTCGATTTCATTAAAGACTTTGAGATTATTGTTATTAAATCATCTCTAAAACTCTTATTGAAATCTATGGTGAATCCATTGGGTCCTGACCTTTTCTTAATTAGTCCAGGATTTTTGTTTGTTTGTTTCATTTTGTTTTTTTTTTATGATGGTTTTAAGTTCATTGCTTATTGGTTTTTATATCTTGGTTGAGGTTTGCGATTCATATGTGTCTAGGAATCTATCCATTTCTTCTGAATTCCCCAATTTACTGGAATACAGATTCTTCAAATAGTTTCTAATTACTTTTGGAGTTCAGTGATATTGTTGTGATTTCACCTTTTTCATTTCTAATTGCATTGAACTGGGTCTTTTCTCCAAATATATCAAACTCATGTACATCAAACTCACAGTCAGGTTAGTGGGATAGAATATAAAATAAAACATGAGAGAGACCTGGAAATATAAAGATAGAATAAAAAATAAGATTAAGCAAAAGTTTAGCTTGCAGTTGTACTAGTTGTGGTGCGGCCAAATTCCTTAAATTGCTTTGCACGGCAGTCAAAACACAAATGGCGAATGTTAGTTAATTTTTTTCCATGAGGAAAATGTACATTTACTCCTTAGAAAAAAAAAAAAAAGGTTTTTCTCTAGTTGTCAGGAAACTACTTTTTTCAAAAATTTTTTCAGAAATGGGACACTTCATTGTGTGAAAGTGAGCTACTTAGCAACTTCCCTAGAAGGAGCAGGATGGCTGTCACAGAGCAGCTTCTCCTGCCCTGCCTCCAGCAGCGCTTCTGCAGTTCCCAGTTCATGTGTTGTATACGTGGCTCAAATGAATGTGATACAGGACTTATTCTGTCCAGCTGAACCTGTACCAGAATTGTGTAAATGAAGGCCACAACACTACAATCAAGTGAAAGATATTCTGTAAGTAATAAAATTATTGTGATTCCTTTGGATATTTCCCCCTTTTCAATAATTCAGAATGAACAGCCAGGGAAAGACCCAGATTATTGTGCAGAACAACCTAACTTCTACCTTCTATAACTAGAGAGGCACTTTTAATATCTATATGAGCTTAAGCAGGTTAGTTGACCTTTCTAAATCCCAGTGTCATGGGACACTGCCTCATAAGATAGCTAGGAGATATATATGAGAAAAACTATACAAAGATTAAGCAAAACATAACATTATTTTAAATTCAATTCTTTGACTTCAGTAAGTCCCCGATTTTTTTTAAATCAAAATAGCTCTTAGATTTCAAGTCAGTGGTTTTCCAGATGCTAATGGAAATAGAAATTTTTAATTCTCTATATACTCTCTTATATTTGTTTTAGGCTTAGCAAGAAAAGAAAACAAAGAAATGATTAACCCTTACAAAAGAAGTATAAAAGATTATAACTGCAGTTGCTGTTTAAGGTCAAGGACAGGCATCTGGGATAGTCCTCCCTGGAGAGGAATTCATAACACCCAATTTCAAGTGCTGTAATGAGGCTAAGCATTATGGATCTTTTGGTACATAACTTAGTATCTTTTGGTTCATTTCTTCATCTGTAGAAATGAGGGCTTGGAGTGGATAATTTCTGAGGTCCCCTCTGTATACCACCCTACGTAATTGTTTGCTTCCTGTGAGTGTTAGTTCCTGAATAGTTAAAATAAGAAAAAAACCAGTATTAACAAATTTAGATTCCATCATGACACAGATATCTGACATTAGTGGTATACGTGGCAGTGAAGTTGCAGCATATCAGTGAATCAATATCTAACTGCCATATTTCTGTCTTCAAAATGCAGCCCTTTACATCAACAGAATGTTCCCCAGCTCTGTTTATTGGAAAGCAATTCATGAAAAAGTGATTTAAAGACAGAAGCAGAAGGAAAGATAAACAAAGTCAAGGAGAAATACAAAGGTGACTTTAAAAACTGACTCATCAGGAATCAATTTGTTGTTAGGATTTGCACTAATGTTTACTAGTTTCTAAGAAAATCCCCCTGCAACAAGGAACAAACGTTTTAAAGGGTATAAATCTGTTTCATGTCCTGTAAGCATTTGGAGAGACACAGGAAATAAAAGAAAACAGTATTGAAAGTGCTGAATCTCTTAGGTTGATTCAGAAGCAAATACAGCAGCAGATATTAAGTGTACTTCAAATGAGGCCTTTTGTGTGGAATTGACACAACCACACCTACCGGTGCTTTCTTTGTTCCCATAGCCCATCTAATTGTTTTCTAGAATAAAAGCATCAGAGTTACTCACAGTTTTTTTCAACCTGCAAGTAAAAGATGTCATTATGGTTGCTAGTAATCGCCTCATATTTCATGAACAAATAAGTCAAGCAGTTTCCTGATCAAAATACAATAATCCCTATACTCCGGAGAGAACTCCACTGGATCCCTTTGTGCTACTTTACCCCAGTGACTTAGCTTCTATGCAGATTTCACTTTTGTATTCGGCTTGGTTTTTTACCACCTGTAACCCATAAAATAATGGGGCAAGAGAATGCAGGAAACTCCTTTCTATGCTATCATGATAAATCTGTGTTACATGGTGAGCTGAGTGGAAAAGATTGAACACATTTAACTGAATCCAAACATGTTATTTTTATTGATGCTTCTCCAGTTATAAAGTTGAGATAGTTTGACTGAACCTTAGAAAATTGGACATTTTGGTATTTACTTTAGCAAAAAGATTATTCCAGCTGGGGATTCAAAATAAAATTTGCTGTTTGTAGTTGGTTCGGCTTCCTGGGTGTTTCAGCTAGAAAAACAGGAGGTCTGTGGGGAATGGTGACCTGTCACTGATGTTGAGCTGAATTATCAAATATGTCGATAAAGCCTTAAAAGCTTATATCACCTTTTAAAATGGCAAAACTTTAAGATTTTTCTAAGCATTTTTACAAAATCCAAAAGAAGGAACATCAGTGCCAGTTGGTAGTAAGAACTCATTCAATTTGTATTATAACAGGAACTAAGTTTATTTTCTTAGTTTCTGGTATGTTAGTACAAGCATGCATCTTCCTTTCCGACCTATACAATTCTATCATACATATGATTGTGCAGCTTGTTTCTATAGTTACTATTTCATTCACTTTTGAGTCTGTAAATCTTTTGTCAACAAAATTCAGAGGACTTTATTTTTGACAATTTCTAAAGTTTGAAAGTTGGAAAAATCTTGAGCCTAAAATGTTTGCCAGGTAAATGCTTCCAAATCCTTAATTTTTTTTTTTTGGCAAGATCTAAAAACATTTGCTGTGACCCCCTGGAGGTAAGAGTATTGATTTTTTAATGGGTACACTTTTTTTCAAATGGAGTCCATTGCTTAAATCCAACACCCGCTCCAATGTTGAAAGAAAGTTTGTTTCCCAGTAATTATTGTTCTTTTTGTCACTGATAGTTCTGTGTTCAAGAATCTATATATTTTCTTGAGGAAATGTACAGTTGGTCTGTTATGCCAGCAAGCAAAGAGGATTGGATATTAATAATTAATAAGTTGTTGTATATTTTGCCTAAACAAAGGTGAGAGTTATTCTACGTAACAAACATACTTTGTATCTTTTGAGATGAGTGGGTAGAACCTTCCAAATCTCGGTAGAAAGGATTATCATTTTCATTTCCTTTTACACATTTTCTCTCAAGAAGTTAGAGACTGTGTTGGAAATTAAGCTTCTTATTCTCTTCTTACAGGAAAAGCGAAAAACTTTCCAAGAATGAGAAAGTCCTGATGAACATTTGATCGGAAGTTCTAGTCAGCTATCCTGTGCATGGCTCACTGAACCACCAGACCGTTTGCCAATACCCTCTGATGCAGTGGTGGTAAGTGGTGATGGAAATGAATATTCTGTTATAGACTTGCAATATAGCTCTTGTCTTGGCAGGGTGGAGTTGAGAGGCTTATCTGTTCTCATTTTTTCATACTTCCTTGGCCAGCTTAGACACTTTGGACAAGGTGTAGTTCGTCCATCCATTTTGACACCTGTTTCCTAAAATGACCTTGTTCCTAGATCCAGGCTACTGGTTACTCTTCATTAATAAAACCCTCTGGCATTCTGGTAATTCAAACAGTTTTCTGTGGCTATGTACGACTTTGGAAGGGTTAGGCTGGCTAGAGAAGTTGAGAGTGGTGGAAAATCACGGATAGCTTAGCGAGTCTGCAGCGCGGCACTCGGGAGCAATTAACCTGGAGAAGTTTGAAGGCAGAGCCAGTGAAATGCGGAGAGCAAGTTTTCAGGTGCCTCATGTGTTGTGGTGGAGAGTTTGAACTCGACTCTAAAAGCTGGGGACCCATTCAGTGACAATGAGCGTGACAGTAATATATTCATGAGTTGTTGGTTTTGTTTGTTTTATTTTAAGATAATTCACTTTAGAAACTCTAAGAAGAAAAGCTCCTAGGAATAAATAGAGGCCATCTGGCCAGCAAAAAAAAAAAAAAAAAAAAAAACTCTTAGCAACTTATTCAAGACAACTAAATGCATAATGAATGTAGAAAATGTGGATGCAGTAAAAGCAATAGATTGGAAAAATATTGAGAAATCAAATAAACAATATTTATTGTTAGATCAGATGTGGAGATATAGGAAAACTTTAAAAGTTAGTACAGATTCTGATTGGGGCAACTGAGAGGAAATTAAAGCCACTTTATCTTATGTACTAATCTCATTTTTCAAAAATTATTTAAGGTAACTCAGAAGGAATTATAATTAAGGTTAAAGAAGATTAAATGTCTACAATATATATTTTGAAAAGAATTAAAGAAAAAGGAAAGAGGCAGCTGGGAAACACTGGAATTAACACTAAATAAGATAAAAACAAAAGTGATATAAGTACAGAACCAGATTTAGTGAAGGTCTACACCTTGCTAAAGGTGGGTAACAAATCACTTTCGCACAAAAATGTTTAGTAGGTTGTTCAGCAGGGAAAACATGATGAATGAAAAGATCCATGAAGCTGCCTGCAAGAAGCAACAGATCTACAGCTACAGGAAGAGCAGAGACGCCACCAAAGAAAGTGGAGTCCAGGAAGTACTGCCATGCCCTGACAGAGGAAAGAGAGAAATAGATTTTTAGAAGGAACAGTGGTGAATTCAGCTCTGCCAGTGTTAAATTACTCCATCTCTAATTAAGTAATTTCTTACTTTTTCTAAATACTCTATCCTCACTGTCTAATCCTTTGTGCTAATCCTTATTGTATCTCTGATCCAGGAAACAAATGCGCTTTTGAACATCATCCATATGCCCTTGGCAAAGAACTTTTCTTTGAATGAGCTGTTTCCTTTTTCTTGCTACCCTCTTTTTGCATGTGGTCACATTCACAAGACGATCAAGTTATGACTTTATAAATCATAATGTATAAAAATTGTTTAGGCTCACAATGCTTAAATAGAGGGAGAATAATGTGAACAAACTGGACAGGGGAATACAGTCAATGAACAAGATCCACTGGCAATGCTATCAATTCCGTAATTATTAAAATTCACTTTATTAGTTAGCACAGAAGCAGGCTAGCATGGAGGGCCCAGTCTCATTAAAGTTTGAGATGTACCTTTGTAAAGTAGCCTCAGAAGAAGCTAACTTAATCACCACAGTGGAAATCACACAGACATAGGAGGTGCCTTCCGTTAGAGGTGGGAGCTGGTGGTGGAAGATGAGATTTCCAGGCCTGCTGTAGCCCCAGCTTGTGACACAGGGAGACGCAGCCAGGGAGTGCAGCCAGGCTTAGACATAAACTCTTAAAGTGTTGGCCCAACTCATGAGTTTATATGTTTTGAGGTCAGTAACTCACACATTGAAGGTCCAGTGAAGTTAGATATAATAATTTCCTAGAAAACTGAGTGTACTCATACTCTCAAGGGAAGAGAAATTCACTTCGAGTTCCCAAATATGGGATCTTATAAGAGACCCACGTTTGAACAAAATGTTACCATGGAACCCAAACATAAACTCCAAAACAAAACCGACTGTAGCAAACTCTGTGTTTGGGAGCATTTCAAAGCTGCGTGTGTATCTCACCTTTACAGCCTGTTCATTGTGTACCTCACGTGAGCGCAGTCACTTAGGGTACGTGTCTGTGCTACGTACAATTACACGACAGTTACACAGGCTCAGTTTCATAGACTTTAAATATCCTTTCCTCTCTACATTTTCATCATCGAAACTCTGTATTTCAGTTTTGTACAGTGTGTAAAACATCCCATTCATAGTATTTCAATGTTTTGGGAAAATACACGAACATGATCTGAAATACCAACATGTTACACAGTAAGAAAACGTTTTTCTTTCCATTTTTCTTATTTTCTGAGTAAGAGAGGAAGAGCTTTATTTGCATGTTTTGAAGATCTTTTGAGACAGGCTCTCACTATATAGTCCAGGCCTTGGCTTGCCTCAAACTTGTATTCATCCCCTTGTTTCTGTCTCCCAAATACTAAGACTACAAACGTTGACTACTCTCAGCTCAGATTTTTAAAATTAAAAGAAATGTCTTCGGTGTAGTGCTTGGCATGATTGCAGAGCCTTGCGCATGTTATGTTAGACAAGTGCTCTACCTCTGAGCTATACAAACAGCTTCATTTGGAAGAACTTTTAATAGTGATCTCTTTTAAACCAAAAGTTAGTATAGTTCTACTTAGAATTTTTTATCAGTTAATGATATGCAGCAAAAATTTAATAATTTGTCATTTATTTATTTATCTTTTTGAGATGAGGTCTCATTATGCAGTTCAGGCTGGCCTTGAGCTTACTTTGTAACCCAGGCTGGTCTCAAACTCGCAAAGATCTTCCTACTTCCGCCTCCCGAGTGCTGGGATTACAGGCGTGAACCACCACACTTGGCAATAATTTGTATTTTTAAATTGTATTGCCTTTTACTTTTAAAAGATTTTTTTTTTTAAATTTAGGGCAATGAAGCAGAACTTTCTTTAAAAATAAATTTATTTCAGTTAAGAAGTGAATTGAATGAATTCATAACAGTATTAAAGAACGATTAGAGATTATAGGCAAATATAGGAAAATTATGTGGATATGGGAAAAATCGAAACCTACCATGCAGATGACTAAGCCGTGATCCCACCAACCCAAGCCGCTTTCCTTTCTGCAGATATACACCTTGCTTTGATGGCATCTTACCACGGGAATCTTCTTCAGTCCTTTTCACTTGATCAACTTTTCATCCCTCCAAAGTCTCTGTCTCCGGCAATGTCTGGTCCATGTTTATTTTTAATCTATTTCACCTTGTGTAACCTATTTCACCTTGTTTAACCTGTTGCCACCGGTTAAACTTTAGTACCAGTAGTTGATTTAGATCCCTACCTGATGGCCAACACTTATTTGGAATATGTTATTCATCTCCATATCTCTATTTTCCAGCACAGTGGCAGACAAAAAAAGCAACAGCTTGATGAATTAATTCATACAAACTAATAAAACTTCACTTATATCTTGTAGATAAGTCATACTATTATTTTGTTCAAAAAATATTCAGTGAGGAGGCTGGGGATTTAGCTCAGCCGCAAAGCACCTGCCTGGCAAGTGCAAGGTCGTGAGTTCGGTTCCCGGTACCGGAGAAAAACCAAAAAAAAAAAAAAAAAAAAATTCAGTGAAAGTAATAATAGTAATTCTAACCTGTGTGTGTGTGGGTGTGTGTGTCAGTATTAATAGAAGTAGCAATGAGAGTGTTCTAAGTGCTACTGATGTGTATATCTATATATATATATATATATATATATATATATATAGTGATTTTTATGTGTATTTTACCACAGTAATATTTTTTAAACTCTATAGAAGGCAAACAAAATTTAAGATTTTGCTATATGGGGATGCAATTCTCCTTGTGCATATATTAAAAGGTTAGTTTAGAAATTCACCATGAATCACTGTAGCAGACATCAGAGTCTGGCTTCATTGAAGTGTCAAGCTTGGAGATAGATTGGCCGTGTTTATGGGATACAAATGAAAACCAATGATACAAGGTTAGGCACAGAAAATAGAACTATTGCATAAGTAGTCTTTATAAACGCGTGTATGCGTCCTTGAGTGGTGTATTTAGTCTGTGCTTGCTAGGGAACAGATTTATGCAGGGCACAAACTTACAAGAACAACTTCCAGTATCTGAGCATAGACTCAAAGGTGGAGGAGCACAAGAGAGCTGTCCGCGTGCCAGAGACCTGAGGAATTCGGGTGAGGTCCTAGAGCCAGGGCAGCGCCCCAGCCAGGCCGCACCACGAGGCCGACGAGGCCGTGCAGGAAGCGAAGAATCCACGCAGAGAACCTGGAGACGACGCTCAAGGTGAAGCGACCAGAGCTCCCAGCCCGCGCGTGCCAAAGGCCTGCAGACAAGCTCGAGGCACGGCAAAGCCCACAGCTGCTCCCAAGAGGACATCGGCCATCCTCGGGGCAGGCGAAGCTCAGCCCGGAGGACACAGAAGCTTCTCCGAGGAAAACCAGCGGCACTAAGCGCTCCCAGGAGAGGTGAGCGTAAAATCCGCCCCTCCTGTTCCCCTTCACACCTTTCCTGCTGCGAGCTGACTCACACCAGCTGCAAGGACACTTAAGTGATTAACCATTAACCAAGCGGTGGGGGGTGAGAGGCCTGACTTACTATTTGTATGCACGTAGGAAACACGTGGTTTGCTGGGTGTTGGATATGCAGATGGAGTATGCTTTGTCACCTGTATCTCAGGCCCTTTCCATCACAGTTCCAGTGCCAGCTGCAGCTATCTCTTTAAACAGTTTTTTTTTTTTTTTTTTTTTCTGATAAACATTCCAGTGGCTCCTCAGAAGGCCTGAATTTGAGCCCCAGAAGACAGCTGGAGACCCATACACCAGGCAAGGACTCTTCTTCCCACCAACGCTCAGCTTTGTTTTTCTTTCTCACTAACTTTCACAAGTTCAATCCCCGGCATGGGTCTACACCGGCTGCCCGGCTGCCTCCTACACCCCAGGAACACAGAGAATAACCGTGTCGGGCTCCCCTTCTCTAGTGCCCTGTGCTCAGGGAAGTAGCATCTTGGTTTACAAACGTGGGGCCAGATCCTGCCGAAAAGGGAAGGGACGGCACAGGGAGTCGCTGGAGGTGAGCACACAGCCCAGAGAGGCCCACTGCCTTGCGCACGCTCCACTGGAGCCCCGCGCGCCAGACACGGCCAGGGCGCCTTCCGCCTAGTGTTACATAATGACCAAACTCCCGGGCCCCAATACCTTCTCTGAAAAAATATTAAACATTGGATAAATATCGCTTACCCCAAAACTAATGCCTCCATCAGCAGATGTTCTGTACTATGTTGTTTCATTTCCTCCATTTTTTTGGTCATTATTGTCCTGTTTATTGATGTCTGCTTGTTAATTGTTACTTTCTGCAACCTACCCAAAGAACATAAACTTCACCAAAGACCTCTCCTGCTCTGTCCAGTTTTATTCCAGTGCAGAAGAGTTACTGGCATGTAGACACTGTTCAGAAAATGCTAGTTAAATCAAAGAATTTGAAGACATCTCATATTTAAAGTGCACTTTAAGAAATATGTGAATGATAAAAGGTAGTTAGAAATATTAGGATGGCTACTTTCAACATTTGAAAGAGCTGCAGATCATCCCCTAAGTACTTTATAAAATCTGGTGAGTCACAACTACTGTGCATGATTTAATTTATTCAATATTTTAAATATTTTTAATCCTTTATTTATTTATTTTTTTTGGTTTTTCTCCGGTACCGGGAACCGAACTCACGACCTTGCGCTTGCCAGGCAGGCGCTTTTGCCGCTGAGCTA